CAACAGTCTTAGGAGGAACTAGAGAGAACCAGGCAGCCCCTAGGCCATATTCCTGTGATCAGAAACAACAGGGCCCAGAACCTTCCACCCAGCATGTGAAAACCACTGACATCTTTTGAATACTAATTTTCCATATTTCTGGATTTTAAAACTGAGTTTTAAGAGAGGGAGAGAGAAAGAACCTAACCTAAGTGTCAATTTTATCTAGCACACAAACTCCAAATATAATCAAAATAGACCTCCTAGCCTCAGGCTTCAAGACACTAAATCTTGCCCTGTCTTGCCCCCTTAATTAAAAAACAAAACAAAACAAAGAAGTCACCAGATATGGAAAGGCCCTCAGGTTGTCTTTACTGGCTGCAGAATATGCCAAATTCTTGGTGCAGGCCCCAGGGGGGTGATGACACCCACTTAGGTGCGGATTGTCTCAAGCAGTGCTGGGAAGCCTTTGGCACCCACCCTTCGGCCTTTCTCCAGCTCCAGGTCCCTCAGGACTTAGAGGGTCCCAACCCACTCTCTATGGCACAAGTCAGAGCGCACCTGAAACGGGGCCGCGGGGGTCACCTGAGACCCCACCGCCCGGTGCTCTCCCCATCTGGATGCCAAGCACAGCTGGTTCCTCCCGGGCTCCATGCCCAGCTCAGCCGGCGGCCATGCACAGGGCCTGCAGCGGAACTGGAGCCGAATGCTGACTTCTACCAACCTGCCCTGTGCCCTCGACCCCTTGCGCATCCCTGTTCCTTGTCCCCAGCCCAATACAGAGAGGAGGATGGAAGGGGGCTGACCTGGAAGTGCGGGGCGGGGTATGCTTCTGCTAGCCCTCTCTTCCCTCCCGCCTGGCTTCCCATGCTCTTCCCTGACACTGCACTGTAGCATGGGACTCCAGCAGACACATACCCCAGAGTCTCCGCGAAGAGGCAAAGAGCTAGAGCCAGATGACTGGGAGTGGCAGGAAGTAGAGCTCCAAAGCGCCCCAGGCTTCTTATCCTGGATGGGGCGGGGACCAGGGACGTTAGCCAGGGAACCTCCCCGAGCCAGGGGAACCTCCCAGCTCCAGGCCGCACCTCTGCAGGCCAGGAACTGGCACCCACAGGCAGCTGAAGGGAAACGCCCAGAGGTGCAGCCAGGCGTAACACTTGGACTTGGAGTTGGAGTTGGGCCCCCACTGGGGATCGAGGCCGCCCCCTGCAGGGGCCGCAGTCTATTCTGGGCCTCCTTTTAGCTTTG